AGGATTCAGGAAATAGCCAACTACTCAAGCAATGCATTTGGTGCCTAGAGCATGCTGGTGACTTTGTAATGTTGTTTTGTGGGGCCAAGTAGAGACCCAAACCACAAGCCTACCCATTCAGGTAGCATCTAGGACATTCTGGGCCTGTGCATGAAGCATAAGCTTTGAAACCAGACAGACCTGGCCTTGAATCTCAAGTTTCAGATTCACTAAGCTCAGAGTCTAAGATCAGTCTCTTAACCTATTTGAGCTGAGGCTCGTTTGTCTATCAAGTAAAGTGCCCCAGCTCTTTTGCAGGGGTGGTTGACAACAGTTTTGCTTGTAAGTATTCTGGCACTGTGACCAGCACATAGGGGGTGGCCCCAGAAGCAACGGGCTCCTCTTTTCATAGCCACCCATGCACTTTTCAGACAAATTTATCATTATTCACCTGCTGTATACTGTACAACAGGTCCTCAACCAGCTGCTGGGGACAAACAGAATAATACAAACTTTCTACCCTGAAGCAGGTTGCAGCCCACTGCATTTAACCAAACACAACCAATGTCTTGGCCATTGCAAATCAAATAAAACTTTATTCAGGAGGAATAATCTTCACAAAGCCCATTTCAGTATGACCCATTTAAATCTCCTCTCCACAGAGACCTCATCTTGACCACAGCTATGCAGTGCATTCATTTGTTTTCCCACTGAGATTTTTTTTCTGAAAAATTGACTGAATTCTGCCAGAAGGAATTTATGACAGGTTGTAAGTTTAGTTATGTTCATTCATTAACATGATTAGAGCTCTGAACAAACTTACTGACACGACCAGAACCACTGAGTAACACGTAGTCAAGTCACAGACTGACACACCTCCTTCTCGCAGCCCTCTAAACTCTGGGGAAGACAAATGCCAAGTCCATCTTGAGTCCTTGAAATAGTTCTAAGAGACCTGACTGGAGGTTGCCACTAAAAATTCCTGGCTGGAGTGGTTCATACTTTAAGAATGGTTCTTATGTCCCTTGGAACATAAACTGAATCTCCTTAAAATACTCTTCACTTTAACATAATGAGGGAATGAAACAGTTTGATTTGAGGAATATGGATTTGATTTGGTGAATATGGATTTAATTTGGTGAATGTGGATTTGATTTAGCTGGCTTCTCTTACAAACAAGGATCTGAATTGTGGACTTGTGAAGGCCAATAAGAGATGACCAGTTGAGAAGAAACTAAGCTGAATCGCTTTTCTTCAGGATTACCCTTCTCCAGGTAAATTTCTTTCTTCCTCAATTGATTTGTGCAAATTAATGGTCAGGAAACTAGGTGTATGTGTGTGAAGCAATGTTTCCAAGGAAAGACTGCAGGATCTGAAATGCTGTTGTGACTCTTTAAGGTAAGAGTTAATCATCTTTCTCTAGGAAAAGCATGTTGAAAGAAGCCTCAGTAAAGTGCTTAGTTTTCATTTGTTTATTTATCTTAGTCACAGAAAACCTTTCATGAACATTATAAATATTTAGCCAGTTTTTCCAACTAAAAACTGGACAGCCTTTAGTTAACATAATATTGTTGGAAACTTGACTCAAAAGAATTTCCCTCACAGATTTTCCGATAACCAAGGCTAGGGCAGATATCTCACAGATACAAGCCACACCACTGATCTTGTCTACTACGGCCTGCCACCAATATTGGCCTCTTGGGGAAGTACTGGACCCAGGGGACCAAAATTTCCCCTATATAATTGTGTTTCATATTTCCTGGCCCTAAGAAGTTTAAGTTCTTCAGAGTCTGATGCAGTTGGGTTTGAGTCCTGTCCTCTGCCAGCTTGTTAATAATCAAATCGACTTCAGCTTGCTTCTATCCTTTAGTTTCTGCCTCTGCAAAAATGACCCAAATAATTGTGTCTTTCACAGATATTTTCTCTAAATTTAATTAGCATGAGTTAAAAAAAAAAACATTGAGCATCCAAGGACACTTACAAAAGGTTAGCAAATATTATTGGGGTGGACTGTCAACAACCCCTTGATACCCATATGATAAGTTAAGCTGTTGGATTTCCAGGTCTAATAATGAATCTGGGTCTCTTGCTTACCTCTTGTGTTTTCTTTGCTGCTGATGAGGTAAATCCTTTTTATGGACCACAAGCTTAACCACCTTTGCAAAGCAAAAATTTTTAACTGCAAAAATATGTGTTTTTTGAGGACTTCCGGGAGAACATGGCGGACAGATAACAGCAACTACCGGAGGCTCTCTGAAAACTAGGCTCAGAAGCCAGGTATGGTGCGGACTAAAGAGACATAAGCAGGTGGAGTTATGCTCTGCTGACTCAGGAACGAACTCGGCTGAGAGAAACCAACTTGGAATGCAGTCCTGGTGCTAAAACAGGAACAGAAAAGCCTCGCTGCTGAGGCTGGACCCCACGCCATTTGGGTTTCCCGCCGCGCGGTGGCTGGCTGCCTCTACATCGGCTCGGCAAGGAGAGAGACGCACGGAAACTCTGAGAACGGGAGTCTGTGAACGGAGTCGAAAACAGGACAGGCAGGGAGGCATGTTCTGACTTGTGGCGAGGTGAGTGAGAGAAACTGACACTCCACCACAGTTTGACTCCAGCGGACTTTCTGGGCCCGGGCAGTCCTGCGGGAGCAGGGCGCGCTGGCGACTCCAGCCACACATTCCCCTGTCGGGCGGGATTGGTGAAAAGTGCCTGGCCTGCGTGACGCTGCCGGCGGACCCCGTAGGCTGGCCCAACCCAGATCCCAGAGCCTGACGGAGGGCCGGGAGGGGCGGGCCCCCGCGTAGGCTGTCTGGTGCGCAGCGGTGAGTGGGAACACCTAACCGGCGCAATTCGATCAGGCTGTGGCTGACAGAGAGAGAAGCTAGGCCTCTCATATAAGCTTGCATATATAAGGAACAGAGAATATGGGAAGAGGCAGCAACAAGAAAGGCTCCTTGGCCCCCAATTCTGAGAAACAGGCAATAACAGACACCGCACCATTACACATAAGGCGCCATATAGAGAGCCTCATAGACCAATTCAGGAATGAAGTTATCAACGACCTGAAGCTAGAAGTATGCAAAATAGTTAGAGAAATACTAAGCACCACCCAAGAAAAAACAGATGGTGGAATGGAAGAACAGAAAAAGAGGGGAGAAGTGTTTGATGGAGAAAACAGGGAAAGCATAGAATACGTGAAGCAGGTTCAAAGGGACTACCAAGAAACTAAGAAGTCTATCGAAGACTGGCATAACAGCTTGAAAGAAACTAAGGACAGACTATCTGAACTGGAGGGCAGAATTATAATATGGGAGAATGAAATGAAAAACTTCTTAAAAATAACAAAGAAACAAACAGCAATAATACAAAGACAAGAAGATGATAAGAGGAGCCATAACTTAAGGATTAAGAACATAAAAGAAGAAGTAGGGACACAAACAAATGAACTACAAAAGCTACTCACAGAAATAATCCAGGAGAATTTTCCTAATTTAGCAAAAGGTAAAGATACTCAGATGTATGAGGCATACAGGACCCCAGCCACCTACAACCCTAACAGAGCAACACCCAGGCATATAATAATAAAAATTCCAGAAATTCAATACAAGAACAGAATATTAAAAGCTGTCAGAGACAAGAAGCAGACCACTTACAAGGGAGCACCCATCAGAATTACAGCAGATTTCTCTGCACAAACCATCAAATCACGAAGAGCTTGGGGGGAAATAATTCAAGCTTTGAAAGATAATAATCTCCAGCCAAGATTGAGATATCCTGCACAACTGTCCCTCGAAATTGATGGAAAAACAAGGTGCTTCCAGGATAAAGAGGAACTGGGGGAATTTGCAACCACCAATTCAACTCTACAGAGAGTATTGCAGGATATTCTAAAAAAAGAAAAATACAAAGAATCCAGAAATAATGGAGGCCACAACGAATGGAGCAGAGAACAAAGTGAAGAAGACAAACTGACAGCTACTGACAGAATAAGAGCTCAACAGAAATGAGGCAGAGAAGATTGGATGATAGGAACAGCTATTTTGGAGAAAATGACATCTTAATAGGTAATACTGATTTAGTATCATCTTGTTTTGAAGTCTCATCTAGCTTTTGTCCTTCTGTCTCCAATGGTCCAAATAGGTTGTATCTTACTGGATTTTATTATGTATGATAGTATAAGCAAAAACCTTTTAAAGACAAGGAGATTATACAGAAACCATTGTTCATTTTCTGTTAGTCGATTCTAAATACTCTGTAATGCTGTCATTCTCTTGAATGGTTTTACATTGTTTTGATATACTTAATGCTACAGTATACGAAGTTGTACTCAAGGATTTCAAGGAAAGAGATAATATGGTAACTACTTTTAGGTCAGGATTATCTGGTGGTGAAACACTATTCTGCTTAAATGGTTATGTTTTGATCTGTGCTGTTTCGTTGTTATGCCCTCTTTTATCTCAATCTCCACTCCATTATTTACTTTTTTATTTTTATCCTTTTAATTAAGGGAAAAAATAGCAGGATATATTATAGTAACCCACTTTGACTTTCCATTACCTCGATTTAAAGCCCTGTATTACTCTCACCATCTGGTTTTTAACTGATGTTCCCCCATTCTGTTTTGCTGGATAGTATCAGGTTCGAAAATTTAGGCATCAGCTGTGAAGATAATGAGATTCATTATAACGCCCATTCTCATTGACTTTTATCTATTTTTGAAGACCTACAATGTCTCCAATGTTTTGGTTTTGTCGGTTTTATTCTTTACAGTTTTGTTCAATTGTATTGTAACTAACAATATAGGCAATTCTATTAGAGATAGCGGGAGGCATTATGGTAACCATTGTTGATCACCTTGCATTATGTTTTCACATTATCTATTATGTCCACCCTTTTGACTTGACCGATTCTGTTCTGTTATGTCACATTTGGTTTTACTCTCTTCCAAAAAAGTAATAAGAACCGTGGGAGCAATGAAACCCAAAATGTGTAATAGTCATTGTACAAAAGAGAGGAAAAGAAAGTGCTCTGTACTATATAACTGCATGTATATTTAAGTGTATAAGATAGAAAATGATATCACAGAGTTTTATTGGATCATTGAACAGAACTGTTTGCAGTATCATTGATGGAATGTCCACTTTACAAGCTTTAATTTTGTGACTTGAACAATTATTTCTAAGATGACAATATGTAATCCATTAACTAGTAATTTCCTACTGTTCATTTTTTTTTCTGCAAATCTGTATAACTTGTACCCTTTCTCTGCTTTTTTTTCTTTTCTCCTTAAATAAAATTTAAAAAAAAATTTTAAAAAAAAATATGTGTTTTTTGTCTTTTCATGGAGTCTTGGAACTGTTCTCTGACATACAGTACAGCTTATCAAGAAGAGAGGTGGAGTACAGATGGAAAGTCAGAGATGTGGCCCTGAGAAGTTCAAGGAAGTGATGGGGAAGATCACCAGACGCTTAGTAAGTGGAGGCCCTGTTCATACCTGGACTGAGAACAAAAATGTCCTGCAAAATGAGTGAAAACCAAGTTGTTAGTTTCTGTTAGAATGTATTTTTGAGTCTTAGAAACTAAATGAGCAGTGCATGTTTTCTGAGACAAGCCACCTGTCCCCCATACTAGCTCCTATGTGGAACCCAGCCCCACGGAGTAAGAAACACGCTGCTACACTCGGACAAGAAGGCACCATCACATAGAGAAAATTCAAGGGAGATCAATAAAAATGATTAAGGGACTCGCAGGATTGATTTTTGAGAAAAGATTAAGAAAAATAAATGTGCAGCTTGACACGCAGCCAGGAGGAATATGGTAACTGGGAGGCAACACCAAGGAGTCTTAGGCAGGGGTGGGGTGTAGATGATTCCCTAGGAGGGTGCCAGGACACAGCCTCCCAAGGGATGGCAGAGTGCCTGTACCCAAGGTAGTCACGACTCAAGGGCCAGATGCCTCCTGAACTTGGTGGAAGGCTGTAGCAGACAAGACCGGTGGCATGGCTTGTGTCTGGATGTCCCCCAAAGTCTCACGTGCTCATTGGTGAGGCTTTTCAGAGGTGGCTGGGTCTAGAGAGTGTGAGAATGTAGATTATGTGTGTGAGACTGAGATTCAGAGTGTGTGTTACTGAACTAATCCACTGATTAGAATTAGCATAGTTACAGATGCAGATAATGGAAGCCCCACCCTGGATGTGGTTGGCATCAATCAATAAGCTGGTAGCCTGGATGGAATATAGATAGACACAGAGAGAAAGCAGGCTTGCTGCTGCTGCTGCTGCTGTTGCTGCGGCTGCTGCTGCTGCCTTCTGACCACCCTGCCATGGACTGTTTCTCCTATGGGATGTCCCTCTGCTATGCCACGCTGTCTTGGAAACAGCTGACTCTGGATCAAAACTTCTCTAACCCGTGAACGAAGTATCCCTGTCCTCCTTTAATTCTGAGTGTCAGATATTTTGCTCCATCAATAACAAAAATAACTAAGACAACTACTGTACATGTCTTGTTTAGTGTCATTTAATAGGAACAAAAGAACACGGGATGGCAGAGTTCCAATTTCAATTTTGACCTCCTTGTTTCAGATTGATGACATAATAATAGCAGATCAACCTGTTTCTGACCACATAATTAAAACTAAAGAAGGAGAAATATCTAACATCCAACGTGCCTTTAAAATACACAACACTAAGTATGCATGTACCAAGACATCTCTCTGAAGGACATTGTCATACAAGCAGATATGGATATGGCATGCACATATGTATTTGCACAAATGTGTCAGTTAACTGTTTGTACTCAGCGACGTACCCTCATTTCAAATTGACCTGGAGGATGATGGAGCTCCCTAGTGAATTACCTCTGTCCTTTGTTCCGGCAGTTTCCAGAAATGGCTCATAAGCCAAATATGAATCATCTTTTTCTGGCACTGGAAAAGCCATTTTCAGTGCAGCTACATCATAGGGTCATTATTCTTAAGGCTGCATTACAGGGTAGCAGAGGAAATGACATAATCCAACTCAATTCACCAAGAATGGTAATAGAGGAAGCTCAGGGCTACATTGTCTCATCTAGATAGTCTCTCCAGGAGTCACAAAACCCCCTAATACAGTCCCTGAGGGAGAAGCTCTCACTTGGGATAAATGGGAAGAAGTGGCTGGAGATTCGCCTTTTGGACACACGACCTCCTTCTGCTACTTACTGTAATCATAAATGGATATAATGCTGTATGTATACAACTCTAGCAAACTCTTTTCTATTACACGAAAAGCCTGCCCCACTACATGGCTGACAACCTCCCATTCTCTGCATGGAGCAAAAGGCCCTGTAACAGCCATCATAATAACAAAATGTGTAGAAAATAAAATGATTGAAGAAACATCCGGGAAAACATTGACCTATGTGTTTTTGACAGCCTAGCCTCGTGTTCTCTGTAAGACATTGCTTAGATTTACTCCGCACATCATTGGAAAGGGTGAGAGGGTTAGGGTGCCACCTCTCACTGCTCAAGGACTGGAAGGAAATTTGATTTTCCTCTCAAGTGAGCTGTGCATTGGCCTCCACTGCACACGCTCCCCAATAGGCATCTAAGTGTCCTTATCCCTCGAGGGCTTAGCCCTACTCAACACGGAAGAGGACTGGTGTAAGTGCCTGTGCTATTATGGCGTATGTGCCAAACACTGTAAAAGCCAAAATTTGACCGTGGACACCCTCATGTCATTCTTTGCAGATTTTCTATCACACTGTTTTGCGCTGTCACCATGGAGATACTTTGCCATACGACTGTCTGAACATTTATGCCTATAACTTAAAATAGGAAACACCAGCAGCTGCCACTAGGATCAAAGGTATCTCACAGTCTGGGAGAGAAGTACACTCATGACTGTATCTGGTGTATAAGCAAAATGTGGATGACAAACCAAAGGCATCCAAGTGAAATTTAAAACGCATAAGCTCTCAAGCATTTCTGGGTACCAGGACAATTGAGTGGAGGTGGTAGCTGACTTACATGGGTGTCAGACCAAGACAAAAGTGTTACATAGTAAGGGACTAAGAACCCACCTTGTGCCTTCTATGGCTCTTACTCACATTGAGAATATAAAAGGGCCAGGTTTTCTCTATCAGATGAGGATCTGAGAGGGAGATTTCAGAGAAGAGTTGTGGGGATGCTCTGAGCATGATTTCATCATAGGGAAAAGGCAAAGCATTTATTTTTAGAGAAGCAATTTAGAAGATGCCTTAGAGAAATAATTACACCACCTATGCAATGTCTGGTCACAGCTGAACCCTACGTCCCCTGAGAAACAGAGTGGCAGGTTGGCCAAGAGGACTACAATATGAAGTAGAAGACCATTAGCAAGATATAGGTTGAGAAGGGGAAAGCTAACTAGGGAGGGTGTGTTTTTCGAGTTTAAGGTGACCACAGGAAACCTCGCCTTAGTAAAGTGTCTCAATGCATGCAGTGAGGTGTTTCCTTCTCCCCGTGTAGGATCTTCACTTAGCATAGCACACTTCAAGCTTTCCTCTGTAATTTCATGCATCTATTGATAGGTTCATTGCTTTGTGTTTGCCTCTGTGTGTTTTGTTTGCTAAGCAGTGTCCCATTGTATGGACACACCATCTATCCATCTGTTGAGATGCTTGGTTGCTTTTAGTTTTTAGTAGTTAGGACCAAACCACACTTTTGTGGAAACATTAGTTTTCAGTTCATTTGGGCACCTAGGCATAGGACTGTTGCTTATATAGTAAGAAAACGTTTAACTATGTCAGGAGATAGGTTGTCACCGAGGCGGCTGAAACTGTACTGTACCAGCAGTGAGTTTGCTTGGCTCTGTCCATTTCCGTCACTTTAATAACATAATAGGTATGCAGTAGTGTCACCATGGCGTAAGTTTGCATTTATCTAATGACAAGTTACATTGGGCATCTTTGCATGTGTTGATTTGCCATCGTTACATCTTCTTTGGGAATGTATCTGTTCAAACATTTTTGCAGAATTCTAAATTATGTCATTTTTCTGACAAACTTTAATAATTATTTTCATACTCATATGCGTTCTTTATATGCAATTTAAAAAATCTTTCAAATTAAAAAATGTTCATTCACCAATGGGAAAGACATGATTTATTCTCATAAAATCTATAAAGTCCCCAGGAACACTAAGTTAATAAATACTGATTCATTGTTCCTAGGAGAAATTCTGTAGATAGTGTAGGAAAATCAAAACCCAACAGAAAAAACCAGAGTGAAAACTTCAAAATACTCGGCTAAGAGAACACAAGGGAGGATGCTTCAAATATATTAACCTCTCTTCTACATTTGACTTTCAGCCAAAGTGGACATCCCCTTCCCAGCACGTAGTGAAACCTCACCAGCACAAAAGCTGAGGGGAGCTGTGATTTTCATCAGAGTTGCCACCAGTGTCATCTTCCCCAAGCCCCTCCCTGCCCTACTTTGTTCCTATTCTGTACCCAACTCTTTCGGAGAATTGCTTTTCATCCTTCTTTAAGCTGCCTGAGCCCTTTCTTATGGGTGGACGCTTCATGCCTGCATCAGCCTGAACTCTTACAAACTGCTCATGACATCTCTCTTCCCTCTGTAGGGAAATCTTGCCTGAAATAAATCTGTAAGATCCTGGAGCACATTTCCATGTTTAGAAAATTCTGTCTCTTGAGTTGTATTTGTGATCGGCCTCACCAAACTCCCTGTGCCTCAGTTTCTTTTAAAGTTCTCAAATTCTGAAAATAACACATTGGATAGATTTTTGTTTTTCATTATTTAACAACAACAAAAAGAAAATGGGGTTCCAGTGGCTGTCTTGAGTCTGAAGTGCCCAGAGGACTCCAGCTCTGTTCTATGGAGCATCTTGTAAACTGGTCCACATCCTCCACCTCTGTCCTCCAGGTGCATTGGCTTAGAATTGGGGAGAAGGCAGACATTTTCTGTCTCACCACCCCATAAAAATGTGGAAAGGAGGCAAAGGTGCCAGGAGTGTTCACTTTGGAGTCACAAGTAGTTTTCAGTCAGCACAGGACTTATGTATAACAGCCATACACTGTGCATGGAAAGGATTTGGAAACCAGCTGAAGCCAAAGCTACTATTGAAATAGGGGTTCGGACTTTGAGCTTAACCTTGAGTTAGAAAGTTAAAGGAGATGTGGGAGTGAAAGGAAATTACCTTCGCCCTGTGGAGGTTTGACAATTGAAACTCTTAAAAAAAAAGGCAGACATTAACAGAAGAAAAGAACCCAAATCTACTTCTGCGCATATGCACACAAAATGCATCAGAGGTAGAAATTTAGAGTCTTCAGAGCAGACAAAGAACCAGGACTCCCATAAAGGATGCAATAGGCTGTGGGAGGTGGAGCAGAAGAAATGCAGGTGACAGAAGGCTGTTGCTATGTAAATTACATCTTTTGGGAGACAGTCCTCTTGGAAGAGCAGACATTTGCTTGTGATCAAGTCTTCCTAGGCAAGGTAAAGGAACTGGATATGTGGCCTCCATTCCTGAGAGCCAGTCTTTTCCAATCAGTGAGATGCCAGGGAGAGGACCAGGACAATTGCATTCCCGTTAGAGGAACAGCTCTCAGTCAGGTAGGGGAAGCTTCAGAGGCAGATGCTCCCTGAGCTTTGGGAGAGAAAGAGGCTCAAAGGCACAAGAGATGTGGTGGAGAGGGTCAGAGACTGGTCCTTCCCCAGACTTCTTTCACTTCCCACACTTGGCCTGCCGGGGCCACCCTCCGAAGTAGCTCTAAGTGTCAACGATATATAGGAGCCTGCTTCTTATCTGTAGCACTCTGCCCCCAGTACTTTCTAAATGAGTAAAAACTCTCTAACGGGTACAATTTGATGCCTGCTATTAATCTATTTGAGTAGCAGTCATCTAACAGGCATGTGGCCCAACATATCAGGGCTCCTACCTGGGAAGGAGGAACACCCGCACTGCCTGTGTGATCAGCCCGCCTCAGGTTTAAACGAACAGTTCAGGCAGGATTCCAGCCTTCACATGTCCCTGCACCCCTGGATTTTTGGAGTCAATAGGTCCCAGGTCTTTTATTTTTCCTAAAGCACAAGAACTATGTCCCTTAGTAGTGGAGACTGGGGGTGACTGCATGACACAGACCCTGACTCTTAATTAAGCAGAGGCTACTAACAGAAGTGAGCTCACTGCGTGACTTGTGGAGACCCAGCTATAACTGTGTGCGTCTCAAAGCAACAGGAACAGGGAGTAACACTTGGCTGGTACTAGCCAGTCATGCAGATTGACATTTTGTATAAAGTGGGGAAATCTTTGGCCTCTTCTGGGTTTGTACAATGAGAGCCAAGAACACCCAGAATAAAAGGCTACTGGTCTTACTGATTCTCCTCTGGATTAGTAGCTTTGGCACTGGGCCATAACTTTGTCCTTCTCTACCAGAACCTAGGTGAGCTGCTGCATAGCCCCCTCTCCCAGCTCTGGGTTAAGGTTTGGTGAAGGGAGCCAGAGGGGCAAGGGGAGTAGGGGACTGGACTAGAGGGCCAGGCTTTTGTATTAGTCACTTTGCAGTGACTGGGAAAAATTACCTAAACCCACAGCTTAAAGGGAGAGAGACTCATTTTGGCTCACAGTTTCAGTCCCTGATTGGCTGAAACAGGATGACTGAGACCAGATGGCGGCAGAGCCCTGTGGAGGAAAAGATGCTCAATCTATGGTAGCCAGGAAGTAGAAAAAGGAGGAGCCAGGGACAAGAGTACAGTCTCCACATTCACACTCCCAGTGACACCTCCAAGCAGGCCCCAGATCCTAGGAGCACGGTCAGCTGTGAACTCACCTATGGGTGAATCCATAGGTTAATACAGTGCCCCTATAATTCAATCATCTTCCACATGCATGAGACATTTAGGGAACATTCTAGAACTAAAACATAACAAAGGCATATGGGCTTGTCTGTGTTTTGAAAATCTTCAGCCAAAGTACCACCACAGAAAGGGCACTGAGCTTGTCCTGAGAAATTATCATAAGAAATGCTGCGGGTGACCAGAATACATCAGCCTCCTTCTGGGAGCTTCTCCAATCCCACTTCCTCTCTGACAACACTGAAATGGTCCTGGCCGGATATGAATAGTCATGCCTTGGCTGACACCCTGAATGGTACCAGCCTGAGTGCCAAGGCCTGACATCTGCCCTCCAGTGGGAAGTGATCTGATGTCCCAGTCATATTTGTGGGCTACATACGCTGGTGCAGCCTGCTTTTGCACCAGCCAAGGTCGAGATGGTAGAATCTAGGTATCTGCATCCCTCGGGGCCTTCTTGGACCCTCTTTGTCAGATTCCAAGGCTGCCCCAGCACCTCTCCTTACCCCTGAGCACTGACCTGCACCCTCTGTATGCACTGAGGGTGGAAGTCCTGCTCTTTGAGCCGTGTTTTTGGAGGCTATTATGCATACACTCACAGCCACGCCCACACATTACTTATTCTTTGTGTCTCTTTCAAGCTCTGGGAAACTGGGGATCTGCATTCACTGAATGCCATGCTTGCAACCACGCTTGGCATAAAGACAACTCAGTCAAGGTTTACTGAGTGTAATAAATAAATGAGCTTTCTTAAACTTTCCACAAACAGGAGGCGTATCTGTTCAGTTCCCATTCTCCAAGTGCTTGCAACAAACAGACTTTTAGTAAAATATGGAGATGCAACTTTTATTGGTGTGGATGTCAGATACTGGGCATCCTGGGCCTCTCGCTCTTGCTGCAATCAGCAGGTGTGGCTGTCATGTTTTGTTTTCCAGGTTCCTACCCTTCCTTCACAGAGAACTTCTGCAAAGCTTGCTGCTGCCTCTCCAGCCAAGGGATACAGGGAAATCAAAGTCCATCACTGTGTTTTTTTCCCCCCCTCCAACTTTAAGATTTGTTACCATCTGGCTGCCCTGGGCATGGAGTATCTGGAACAAGTCATGAGCTTGAGTTAATGTCAGCATTGTTTAGAATAAGCTTTTTGTAACAAACAATCCATATTCATAAATGCTGATGAGCTGCGAGATCTGACACGGTCTCCAGAGAACAGCAGGACAAGGGTGGGTGGGGAGAGCTGTGAAGTCCGTGGCCACCCTGGAGATGGTCATCCTGTTCTATAAGCCACTTTCTCTCTGAAAGCCACATTCCTCAACATGCACCTGGAGTGACATTTTGGATCTCTTGACTTTGGTAGACTAGGCCTTTGAAGTTTTTGCTATTTTTTAACAAAAGGACTGTAGGACAAGGATTTCTTTAGAGTCAATCGCATAGACCACATATGCAACAAACACGGGGCCAGACCAGCCCTTCCATCCCATCCAACAATCACTGACTGGTTCTTTTTGGGGGTGCCCAGTAAGTATTAAAGAGCAATACTCAAAGAACATGAGAAAATACCTTTGTAGGACTCTTACTCCTGCTAAGAACATGGCGGTCAGGTCAGAAAATTAGGTTTTAAATTTATTTTTGCATGTTTATTAGCGTACGCTCACAGTGCACCAGGATTCCACTCCTCGTGGGGAGCTGGTACCTGGCACAACGTGTTCCCATTCTCTTTATTTTCCCCCTTCCAGCTGCTTTTCCTCCATCTCTAGGCTCCCTCCGCATTTGCAAAAGTTCTACTTCCCTGTTTCTTATCTATTTTTGATTTTGCTTTTTAAATTATCTATACTTTGGTTTTCTTGTATAAAACAAATCATGTGATATTCAAGTTTGTGTGTCTGATTTATTTCACTTAACACTGTGATCTCATGGTGCATCTATTTCCCTATAAATGACCAAAAGGGGACAATATAAAACCCCATCCTCTGACCTCTGCAGTTCTTAGAGCTCTTATTTTACCTCAGGGTGTGGAGAAGGGAAAGAGACTGTGAATGACCTCTCTCCTGCAGGACTTGGGGCTCTTTAAAAAGCAGGCGCTGTTGTCTATTCAGTATTATACCATCTACTCTAGAGCATAGGGTGACCCAAAAAGATGATTTTACAAAGCTAATAATGCAAAGATTCTCAAACTATTTTTACCCTCCTTTTTTCCATTCATCATGATATCTTCTTAAAAGAAGAGAGACAGTAGTGGTTCCACTGTGGAAGAGATGAAAAGCCTGTATCCTAAAGCCTGCATGCTGAGAGCACAGGGCAATTTCTTTCCCATTCTGCTCCAGTATGAAGCAAATTCTAGACCCATGAGCATCGGCAAACTTCTTTCGGTGAAGGTTTGGATAATCACTGTGTTACACTTTGTGGTACATACAATCCTTGTGCAAATCACTCATCTTTCCAGTTACACAAAAAGTCCCATGCACAATCACAGGTAAACACAAAAGCAGAACTTCCTAAACTTGAATGGAAGTGAGAACCAACAAAGGCTCTTGCAGAAATACAGACGTAGGTTCCGTAGTTGTGACCTAGAACTCTGGGCATTGCTGATAACTGCCAGGTCCCGGGCTGGTGCTACTGTTAGCTGGGCTCAGAGAGCACACAGACAAGGGAACCCTGGGAAGTTCTTCTATTCCCCAAACTACTAAATTTATTTCCAGTGACTGCTTAGGTGGGGTCTCGACTTCCCCAACTCAGCTTCAGAATTTACAGTAAGAATACATTTATTATGATTTCCTCCATGCATGATAGTGATCTGTGTTCTTGGACCTTATTATTGAGTAAGTTTAATGCTAATTGTGCCTAGACCCAAACGATTTCTGCCTTGGAGAGACTCTGTCATTCACCCTCTGTCTTAATTGATAACAAACGTGATCTTAAATGAGTGGGAGTTTTCTAAAGTTGTGCACACTATGAACTTCCCATCCTGCTTCAATCCTGTTGATTTTAAACAAAACATTGCCCCTGTCTCCTTCAGGAGTCATGGTTTCCTCTTGTCGCTCCCCACGACCTTGTCCTGTCCTGTACACACTAGAGAAATCACCAATCATAGGAGCATTTGGCACAGGACTTAGTGTTGTTAGGGCCCAAACACCTCACAGCATGGTGCCCTGGCAGCTGAACCTTTTGAAAGGAGGAGGCTAAGAAGCAAGACCTTCCACATCTTCTCCTGCCTTTCTTTTGCAAAGTGTTTTTTCCTGGTACTGGGGCTTGAATCTATGACCCTGCTCTTGCCAGGCAGGTAGGTGTTTAACTGCTGGGCTAAATCCCTGGCCCACTCCTGCCTTTCTTTCTCCTAGTCCATTTTGTCCTTTAAGGTTGTTTATAAAACTAGAAGTCCTTTCCCCAAAAGCCAATCATCGGTGTGGAAATATTACTCCAACTTTCCCTCCCTTTCAGTCTAGTACCTGAGGGAGGCCAGGAAGATTCCAGACAGATGGGCCTTGCTGACTTCTTTCTTTCTGACTAGGACCATCATTCCAAGCCCTCTAGGTCCACCAGAGCTCCACACTGCTCTCCGCTCTTCATGGAAGCAGGCAGCTTTCCTGGGCCTTCACTTCTGAAGGCTCCCAGGACACCGAAAGTGTCCGATCTGTGCTGTCTTTCTCTTGTTAACCTGCCTTCCCTTACAGGCGCTTGGCCCTGGCCCTCAGGATGGGTAGGAAAGGTGTCCCACATTGCTGTGTTCAGCCAACTTCCCCTGCTCCATTCAGTATAACTGTTTTGCTCGTGGAGTAGAAAATCCCATTCTCGGAAAGCATGCCAATCACAACTTTCAAATTTATTTTGATTTCCTTTGAGCAGAAGCCTACTCTTAGGGAGAGCTAAAATACTAGCTCAAGACAGAATTCTGGGTTCTTGCATTTCTCATCCCAAATAATCCCATCCAGTACTCCAAAGTTAATCAGTTTCCAGCTGAAACTCAACTGTAATGGGAAGTGTCTTAAATATACTTTTGTCTGCTAAGAATTCTAGCCCGCCTTCGAAGCCTGGGTTCTTGTGTTGCTTCCGGACATAGTCTCCCAACTGAGAGCTGTTACCATGTGCATAGCATCCTGATAACATCATATCTAAACTTAAGCTTTCCAGAAAACTAAGTATGCTTTTATTTATTTATATTTTAGACAAGGAGCCTCTGTAAACCCTGATCACTGTTTTAGTTTCCCATGAGTCTTCTTAGCTAGCAAATTGTCCTTACATTGAACCGGAATTCTTCTGGCTGCAGTACAAGCCCATCTCCCTTTCCTTCCTATTTGAAACAGCTGCTCAACCCGTCCTATCTAGCAGCAATTAGCCTGAACTAATTTCCAAAGCCTCCTGAGAGGGGCTCATTTGCCGGAGAGTTGGGTGGGATCTAGGCAGGGTGGAAGGGCCAGGAGCGGGTGGGCTGTGGCTTAAAGAACACTATTTGTCGCTACCATCTGAGCACAGAGATAAAGAGAACTATTACCTGATTGTAATAAAAATACAAAAACGTGTTTTTTCTTTCCACTCTACTGTTTCTTAAACTATTTGTTGAATTACAATGGTTTTATAGCACACTAACGTCTGTGTTGCTTAATTAAAATTTTAAATCCCTGTAGCATTTTAAAGCCATGCATTATCTCGGTCCATATGAACATCACTCCAGTCTGCAGAGGGAGACAGTCAGGTTCTGACAAAGGACCAGTTCATGGCTGTCCACGCTGCACATTTCAAAGGCAGGTGTGGGCCTTGCCAGGGTTCTGGGTGGGCCCTCTTAAGCCCTCTGAGTACCCTTTGTGATGAGGGTGTCTGTGTTCATCTGGGGATACATGGAGCTGCCATCAGATAGACTATGCTAACAGCACATTCTGTGGTGGGGGCCTCGACATATGTGATCACCTTGGTCTCCATGGGCTGTCAGCAGTGCTGTCAGTGGGATAAGACACCCGACACAGTTTACAGGGGGAGATGTTTATGAGGCTTGTAGTTTGGGGCACTGTAGTCTGTGTGGTTTGCCACTCCAAGGCCGAAGCAGCATGGTGGAGGGGCATGGCAGAGGGAAGATGCTCCACCCATGGCAGAAGAGAAGGGAGGAACCAAGGAGGACCAGGGACCCTCCAGGGGCACACGATGCTGTGACTCACTTCTCCCAGCCACGCCCCAACTCCTCACAGCATGTTTAACTTTGAGCTCATCAGTGGGTCAGTTCCCAGTGGGCATAGCACCCCAAGATCCAGTCACCTTCCAAAAGATACACCTTTGAGCACATGAGACTTTGGGGGAATATCTTACAGCTAAACCCAGGACAAATCCCTATTTCCCTGAACCCAACAGGGTGACTCAAGGCTCAGAGGGCTTCCCCAAGTGGCAGTAAACCCTGAGTGGTGTCACACATTCTCCCTGGGAAAAATACAGACAGGTCGCCTGACTTACACGTTCCGGGAATGCTTGCACCTCATGTCCTCTTCATCCAGGGCTGATCTGAGCCTGTGTTGTCTTGCCAGGATGGCTGTGAACACAGGTTTGCTGGGCTCTGCAAGGTCCTCCTAGGGAATTGCTGAACCCCAGGGATCTTAGAGATCCCCAAACACAAGGGGCCTCTCCAAATTCACAGTTGTTTTATGATAGGATCAGCACAGAGCAACTCTTCCCATCCAACTTTCCAGCTTCACACAGGGACTCAGTTACCCCTAAACTCACTTGCCCATAACTGTCAAATGCACCGAGTGACTGTGGTGACCAGGACAAATGTGACACAGCTCCTTCCTTAAGAAACCAGCTTTATGGTCCACCGAGATCTTCTTAGAGGAATTATTATGAGCCTGAAAGTATTTTTTTAACCAGTTGGCCCTCAAATTAGAGAATTAACATCTCTGTTCAGATTCACCTTGCAGAGCTTTTCCACACACTTGTCAGACATCTCTGCCCGATGGTGGCTGTTCAGCCTGGGTCCTCCTGGTTTGAAGTGTTGCCTGGATGAGAGAGGCTCTGCCATGCATGTTTTGTAACCACCCCTCTCCCCACAACCACCCATAGAGAGTTAGACCCTTAGTGCACGTTTATGCATTAAATGAATCAGTGCATGAATGAATAACTGCTGAGGGAACCAGTGTTTGCTGGCACTGAAATGTCATCCAGAGCAAGTTGTCATGAATCGTTTTCTCAAGTCTCTGGGGACTGCATCTGGGGGAGGGATCATTGAATGAATAACATTAAGACCTTCAGGGACCTAACACTAAACTTGACAAACACCTACATGTGCAAAGCCACTTCAATAATGAAATATATTTTTTATGAATTTTACTTTCTATAGTAAAAATGAAATGCTTTTAAAAACCATGATCTGTGTCTTTCAAAGTGAAGATATCTAATTGTTCATGTGTAAAAGCACCAGAAGCAATAAGACCACTCCTGAGGCTCCAGCTAAGCAAGCAAGACAGGAGAACTATCATACTGCCTATCCTGCTTCCTCTAACTCCTGGGCTCTTGGGGTCACCTGCCGGGGAGAAAAAAGCTGAGTGGTAGAATTCCAGGTCCAACAGGGAACAAATTTCAGAAGGTGGTAGAGGTGGGGGACAGTTTGCCTGTTACGAGGAATGCGAACAGTTCGGTAGACTCATTAGGATGCTATCAATGGAAAGCTGTCATCTGCTGAGGACCATTCCTGAGCTGGAGGCGGTGGGAGACCATGAGGGTCCCAAGCAGCCAGCTCACGGGTAAGCGCCAGAGCGAACTCCTTCACAGACGACATCACTCCCCCGGGAGGAGAGATTGCGCTGAAGCACGAGAACTCTTTGCGAGTCACGAATTCTTCGCATCTCACCATCAACTCTATCTTTACTGCCTGATTTGTGAAAACGGTTCTGGTCCTTTGGACAGTTCCCTCGTCGCCAGGTACGATGCTGAGTTTTGTCGATAGAGGGCAGTGGTGAGGCGTTGTGGGTCCATGTCGCGGGCTCCTGCCTCACAGGCACCTTGGGTTTGGGTCCCTTCCCCAGCGCCCTGCACTGGATTCTTGCAGTGCAGGCAGCTTCCTGGGCATCTGGTTCTTTCTCTGGTACTGACTCCTACAGCGTGTGGCAGTCAACAAGCACCCCCAGTTTGCAGCTCCCCGAGGAACGAGGTGGGCAGTGCTGGTGGACATCTCCCAGGGAAAGCCTTCCCTAGTGCCCTCCGCTTAGACGTGTCTGCTGCTCTTTGAGCTAGGGCTGGCTCCCCGCACCTCTTCTCTGAATGTTCTGTCTCAGCCTGAGATGTAGCGGCTGTTCCTTCTGTCTGTTGTCCCTTACTGGCCAATCTCTCGGCAAGACAATCTTCTGTGATAGCTATTAATTCCTTGCATCAACCCTTTGCGTTCTTTGCAACTTCCTTTGGTCAAATTACCGGGTGGTTTTGTATCCTGTTTAGACCCTGACTGACAAATTGTGGGAGTCATTACAAAGTAACTTCTTTTAAAACATGAGAGCTCACATAATTGGTCCCCCTGCCCTGCAGCGTGCAATCTGTATTTATTTTCCCATCATCAAGCCTATGTGGGGGTGAGGGAAGTGTTCCCTCCACCCTCTGAACATACACTGAAATGAACTGACAATGGCTGATTAATAGAAAAGACATAGCTTACTGTGTGTAGGGCATCGCAGCAGGATGTGTACCCCAAAACCCAAAGGGATTCACAAACTTACATAACCATTCTCATATAGAACTGAGAGAAGGGAGGACAGTAGGCAACTTTGAGGGGAAATCAAAGCTTTTTAGAGGAATCAATAATGGGCCCAAAGAATATACATTAATTTGTGAATGACTGTCTCTGAAGGGTGGATGGACCGAAGCACAAAAGCACGTGTGATAACGCGTGTCTAGATGTGGTGAAATTCCGTGGCTTGCCTGCGATGTGAGTTTAATCTTCTCTGAGCAGTGGAATCTCTGGGATCCATCAACAGTAAATGGCTTCCTTCTTGGTGGATTCAGCCTTTAGGTAGAAAAAGGATTTCAGAGAAGGGCCTCTTCCTGCATCTGAAGAAGGGAAATAAGAGAGCTTTAGAGAGCCTTTGGTTCTAAGGCAGCTTCTGAGGCCTTTTTCATTCAAAGGCTACAGTATATCAAAGCACCATTTTTTGAAATATCATTGGACTGTGTCTCAACATCTACTTTAAAAAAGCTACGATTGGTAACATTGAAATTTATTGGATCAGAGCTCTATCCAGAAAGCTCATTGGAATCCACAGCTTGCAGTAAACCAAAGCCAAAATGACCTCACTGTACTAGGCTTCCGGAGAGCATTACAGCAGAGGGCTTGTAACGATTTGGGCAAGTGATCTCATTTCCCTTTCCTTCCATTCTTCCATCATTCTCATTCACTGAGTGACTCTGAAGGAGTCCTTACTGCCCTCTTATACCTTCTGCCAATGGGGACAGTACCATTCTGGGGTTGTCTGAGCAACTTTGGGTGAAATGCACGTGTCTAAACTCAACATCTCCAAGTCCAATCATAACCGAAATATTAGACACTTGACAGATCTTCAGATTTCTTTGACTTTAGAAATAAAAGTTGGAGAAAGTGAACTTCTGGTCAGGGAGGTCACAACAGGATCTTGTGCCTTGGAGACTTTTATGATCTAATATGTAAATAAACTTATTTGATCAATTTTTCATTAACTACACTTTTGGTGACTTTCTTTTTTTAATTAAATTAAGTGTATTGGTACATTTTAGGTGTACATACAGATCACATTTATCATAAGGAATTTGTACCTGTACATGATATATTTGATTCTTTTTCCCCCATTCTCCTACCCTCTTTGAGTTTCTCTTAATGGAGAAAACTTAATGCTGATTTTTAGACATGCTCTAAAATTTATTCTTCTAAATAGTATATTCTTTTCCTATGGTTATAATCATGTTGCTGAAAAAATTATGAAGCATTATGCATATAATGTGTGGACTTATTATGCATTGTTTGTGTGTATATATACACAGGTGTATCTATGTTTAAAAACCCAGAAATATGTTGACATATAAGTATATTACCAGGTCAATAAATGTAAATGGATGGGGCGCCTATAAATTGTCTTAGGGAGCCTGGGATTAGAGCTGACATCCCCCCATCCACAGTCTGGACATATATTACTTTAGGCTGATATCATCAGTACGTAATGCCAACTTGCCATCATCTGTAATAATTAACACAGATTTCTGTCAGTATTCTGCCAGGGAAGCATGTGTTAGTTTCATATTCCTGTATAACAAATTACTACAAATTTGTGGCTCTAAAACCAAACCCTCAAAAGATTATATACATATATATTTATTTATAGATAGATATGATAGATATTTATACTACTAATTGCTGTTAGTTCATCAAAAAATGGTTTGTGCTTTCATTGTTTGATCATTTTCATGCCTGTATCTTATAATCTGAGCAACTACTTTGAAGATAACAAAATGAAATATATTAACCATTGTTAATTTCCTATTATGTTGTTTTGAAATTTTGTCATCGTTTTTATTCTTTTCTCATCTTAAAATTTAAAAACAAACTCTTATTACTCCACAGTTCTGGTTAGAAGGCTGGTGTGATGCGTCTAGTTCTCTGCTGATGGAAATCACAAGGTCATCACTAAGGCAGAAGCTGGGGTGAGTTTTATCCTGCAGTCCTTGGGGGAATAAACTGCTTCCGGTTCATTGTCGGGCTGGCAGGCTCATTCACTGCAATGATAGGATGGGACCTCCTTATTCTGCTGGCTGTCAGTGGCTCTTAGTTCCCAGGGACCACTTGCACCCCTCACCAGATGGCTGAGGCCCACCTGGATGCCCTCCCACCAGGGCCACACAAGCTGACCTTATCACAGCAGGGGTATACACCTCTCCTCACTGCTAGGGTCATTCAGCCTTGGGGAGCATGTGGGGCTGCTTTCTGTATCCACATCCCAGCTGGAAAAGAGCTGGGGGAAGCAAACCTTTTGGAGGAATTGCATGAACTTCCACCTGAACTGAGGTTCAAACAAGACGCACATGGAGATTGACACTTGAACAGATATCTATCTGATAAAGACAAATTGGAGCAGGAATGTAGTAGGTTGGGGTGGACCAACAAATGCTGAATCAGTAGAACTAGAGGTGAACTGAAGCTGTAAAACAGCTTCAAATGAAACTGAAGACAACAAAAACAGGTACCAAATAAATTAACAGGAATCGCAAGATTATAAATTCATTAGAGCAAAAGTTACTAGGCCTTTAAAATGGTATGTTAATTATATTAAATTTTGAGTTCCACATGTCAGATGTGAAAAATCAATAGAAGATGAGTAATAAGAGCATTTCTTGGACCCGTCCTGAACACTAGAACAGCTAGGCACTACCGTGAGTGATTTACATGTATTTCTTCATCAGGTATTCAAAGCTACCTAGACACTATTATTATTTTGTACTTTTAAAAGTGAGGCAGAGAGAGATGAAGTAATTTGCTGAAGATCACCTTGTATGTGGCGAAGTCAGGACTGAATCCAGGAAATTGCGCTCCAGCGTCTGTGTATTTTTGTATTTCTCATAAGGAGAGAAGATAGGAAGCAGGAAGGGAGAACTGCAGGGAGGGAAGACAGAGAAACATCCAAGGCGAAAGCAGAACCTGCCTGGCAGCTGCCACTCACAATAAATGTCCTAAAGTACGATGATGATAATCATCTGCCCTCTCTTTTGGACTGTGCCATTTGCTTTTGTCTCTGTGTCTCCAAAGTTCTATCTGAGATATTTGTCTTGGTTGTTTTTTCTCATTACTGAGATAAAATACTCAACACCCGAAGTTAAGGAAAGAAAGGTTTATTTAGCTCACGGTTTATGGAGGTTTCAGTGGCAGTCAACTGGCTCCAAGGCAGGGAGGCATGGCACAGGGGCAACTTTTCAAGGTGGCAAAAGACTACAAAAGCAGCAAGAGCAAAAAGGAGGAGAACAAGTCTCTTTTCCTCATATTATATGCAGGCTACTCCACCCCTACCCCGGGAGGGTGTAGCACTCACACCATCTCGGTGCCCTCCTCTTGCATAGGCTCAGGATGTTTACAGAGTGAGGACCCTGGCCCGCTGCTGGATCACTTAACTAAACTTCTGAACTTCTCAAGTTGATATAATGATCATCATCCTGAGCAGTAAGGGTATGTTCTCTACACCCTAGGATAGAGAACTGCTGAGTGAGTAAAACTTCTAGACTTCTCAAGCTGACACAGTGTATCAGCCATAACACTACTTGTTCATTGGCCTGCCTTCAATATTTTGATATGGCAAATCTCAATGACAGGGAAAACCTGCTGGCCTGGAAACCACTCACCTTCTCTGCATTCATCCACTCATTCTTTTATTGATTCATCTAACATCAGTAACTATCATGTGTCTCCTTCTGGGGCTGTTACGGTTTGTCTAGTTGTCCTAAACTCTCATGTCATCATAGGTGGTGATTTGGGGAGGTGATTGAATCATGGGGGCTCTTGTCCTCATGAGTGGATGAGTTTAGAGATGAATATGCTGTTGGCAGGCAGGGTTTGGTGGGAAGAGGAGGCTTCGTGGGAATGTGGCCTGGGAGTGTATGTCTTCCTCTCCTGCTCCTCTCTCCTCTCTCTGCTTCCTAGCCGTCATGACACTAGCAGGTCTCTTTCACCATGGAAGGACTGAAAGTTCTAAAACATGAGCCAAAATAAATCTGTCCTGTACTGGTGTTGGGTGTGTAGTTTGTCCCAGAGACAAGGTAAGTTACTAAAGTGGCAGAGATGGGGGAAAGGACCGTTCAGTAAACAAAGGAGCACCGTATGATCAAGAACAGTGAGGAAAATGAAGGTAGGGATGTCAGCCTTGGTGGTCAAGGCAGGTCTTCCTGACAACATATTTACACTGCGACCTGAATGGCTGAGTGCTGTGTGCTGCTTGCAGTTTGACCCAGGGAGGATGTATTTCCTCCTGGTTCTTGTAGGGAGCATCTTTGCAAATTCCTCAGGTTCTGACTCTAAGAACATCATTAAATCTGCTTTTTAAAGGAAATTTGGCATGCCAAAAACATCACTAATGTGAATTTTGAATAACAAGTATTGTAATCCCAATTGTAATTCCTTATAATATTGTAATTCAAATGTAATCTTTTTTTTGTCCTTCTCACTATCTGGAAAGTTTGTAATTATAATCCCATTGAAATGTTATTGGAACCCTGGTCAGTTAATTTTAACCTCTCACCTCCAGTGCATCCCATGGTGAGAATAAAGACACTGAGACATATTTATAGTTATGTGAAGCCAAGGACTCCTGAGACTGGTCCAGGTGAGGATTCACAGAACAAAGGCCACCATCAGAAACTTGTCCAGGATTTATTAACTTGTGAAGAGGGCAGAGGTTTGAGGATGAGTGAAAATGATGGGAATTATGAGTAATGAGCTGAGTAGTGAGCTGAGCTGGCCAGGTGGAGAGAAGGTACCTTTGAAATATGCAGGAAGAAGGATATGCAGAAAGACCAATCTGCGTAACTCAATTGAGGGAGCATTTGAATGATGTAGGAGGCCGTTGCTTCAGTTTCTGATGTGCACATTTTGTGTCCTGGGAAGTCACAGCCTTTTACCTTGAGGCTGGAACCCAGCTGACATTTTTGGAACTATGTGGCTCTGCCATCCTGCTGTGCTCAACCATTTATAGGGACTGTGGTACAGGGAAACAGGAAGCTGTCAGCTGGCTCCAAGCACTGTTCATCAGTACCTCTGCTAGCCTTATTTGCATTGCTTACAGTCCATTGAAACAAGAAGTAAATAGCTAGCCAGTTTGTACATATCAGTACACAGAGACAGAAGCTCGGTTTAACTAATGCAGACATGATTGTTCTGCATTCAAGGAAGCTAACCAGGTCATCTTCTACCAACAAGATCTAAAGGAGGTCAGGAGGACCCCATGATTCCCTCGTGAAGTAAAAAATGCTCCTGGATTTGCTCATATTTGGGAGACCTAGTGTGTCATATGTCTTTTAAAATTATAATTTACGTGTAGTTT